AGACAGGACATCTCCACTGTCTCCAGCTGCCTCCTTGCTGCAGCATTTGCAACCCAAGCTTCACGCCCGTATAAGAGTGTTGGTACCACTATACTTTCATACATTCCCTTCTTTGCCTCCATGGATAACATTTTTTGTGTCCACATACCTCAATGCACCACTCACATTTTTTCCTTCATCAATTCTATGGTTAACCTCATCCTTCATAAACCCATCCACTGACAAGCCAACTCCCAACTATATGAAAACATTCACTTCTTCCATACTCCTTATCTTCTTTATCTAAATCATTTGATACCCTCATCACCTTACTATTATCTATGTTCACTTTCAACTTTCTACCTTTATAGGCCCTCTGAAACTCGTCCACTAACCTTTGCAACTTTTCTCTAGTTTCCCATAAGCAGAGTATTATCAGCAAAAAGTAACTGTGTTAACTCCAATTTTCTATTTGATTCCCCATAATTTAATCCCACCCCTCTCCCCAACACCCTAGCATTTACTTCTTTTATAACCCCATCTATAAATATATTAAACCACCATGGTGACATTACACATCCCTGTCTAAGACCTACTTTTATTGGGAAGTAATCTCCCTCTCTCCTGCACACCTTAACCTGAGCCTCACTATCCTCATAAAAGCTCTTTACAGCATTTAGTAACTTACTACCTATTCCATATACTTGCAACATCTGCCACATTGCTCCCCTATCCACTCTATCATATGCCTTTTCTAAATCCATAAAGGCAATGAAAACTTCCCTAACTAAATACTGTTCACATACATGCCTCAATGTAAGTACGATCTACACGTCCCCTACCCACTCTAAAGCCTCCTTGCTCATCTGCAATCCTACTCTCTGTCTTACCTCTAATTCTTTCAATAATAACCCTACTCTTCACTTTTCCTGGTATACTCACTAAACTTATTCCCCTAAAATTTTTACAATACCTTTTGTCCCCCTTCCCTTTATATAAAGGAACCATACATGCTCTCTGCCAATCCCAAGGTACCTTCCCCTCTTTCATTCATTTATTAAACAAAAGTACCAACCACTCCAACACTATATATCCCCCTGCTTTAACAGTTTTGTCATGATCCCATCAGTTCCAGCTGTTTTACCCTCTTTCATTCTATGTAGTGCCTCAAGCACCTCCCCTATACTCACATCCTGCTCTTCTTCACTCCTCAAAGATGTTATACCTCCCTGGCCAGTGCATGAAATTACTGCCTCCCTTTCTTCATCAACATTTAAAAGTTCCTCAAAATATTCCCATCTACCCAATACCACCAGCTCCCCATCAACTAATTCCCCTACTCAGTTTTTAACTGACAAATCCATTCTTTCCCTAGACTTTCTTAACCTGTTTATCTCACTCCAATTTTTTTTCATATTTTCATCAAAATTTCTTGACAGTGCCTCTCCCATTCTATCATCTGCTCTCCTTTTGCACTCTCTCACCACTCTCTTCACCTTTCTTTTACTCTCCATATACTCTGTTATTCTTATAACACTTCTGCTTTGTAAAAACCTCTCATAAGCTACCTTCTTCTCTTTTATCACACTCTTTACTTCATCATTCCACTAATCACTCCTCTTTCCTCCTGCATCCACCCTCCTATAACCACAAACTTCTGCCCCACATTCTAATACTGCATTTTTAAAATATTCCAACCCTCTTCAACTCCCCCACTACTCATACTTGCACTAACACACCTTTCTGCCAACAGTTGTTTATGTCTCACACTAACTTCCTCCTCCCTTAGTTTATACACCACCTCTCTTACTTGCTGTTGCCATTTTCCTTTTGTCCCATCTACCTCTTACTCTAACTGTAGCTACAACTAAATAATGATCCGATATATCAGTTGCCCCTCTATAAACATGTACATCCTGAAGCCTACCCATCAACATTTTATCCACCAATACATAATCTAACAAACTACTATCATTATGTGCTATATCATACCTTGTATACATACTTATCCTCTTTTTCATTAAATATGTATTACTTATTACCAAACCTCTTTCTCCGCATCGTTCAATTAACCCTTAAACTGTACAAACATAGATCTACGTTTGCAGGCGTAGCGCTCCAAACGTAGATCAACATTTTATTTTTCATTCCTTCAAATTTGGGACAATAGGCTTGAGTTGCCTAGACATGAAAGAATGGGTCTATGCACTCAGTGTGCGCACTATTAAAAAAATCTGGGAGCACTTAGTACCTTGTGGGAGCACTAGTTCAATTGAGCGCCAGCTAGAGCAAATAGCATGGCAAACACCAGGGATTTACTGATGCCATGTCGCATTAACACTCCCATTTTAAGAGTAAAGTAAAAATAGGTTAGATAAATACATGAGTGAGTGTGAGTGGGTGTTAGTTGGACCTGACTAACTGGTGCTACTAGGTCTGATGTCATGCTCCTGCCTTCAATGAATGTGACCTGACTAGGTGGGTCATTGGTCTAAGCTGTGGGGGGGGGGACATGTACCTGCCTTGCATGGGCCAGTAGGCATGCTGCAGTGTTCCTTCTTTCTTATGTTCTTATGTATTCGGCAGGCTGGCCGGCTGGCTTGCTTTGGCTGTCTCTCTGCCTATATCTCTGTCTATATTTCTGTCTATATCTCCATCTCTGTCTATAGCTCTGTCTCACATGTACACATAAGTACAGTTATTATATGTAGTGTAAATTACCTAGAATAATCCAAAAATTCCAGGCAAAGATAGACAGACAGACAGATAGACAGAAACACGTTTGTGTTTATCAGTGAAAACAAATAAAGCCAGGGTTCCCCCGAGCACCCATTTATCAAATGTCACCGAGCTGATAACAGATGTCATAACACGATTCTTCAAAGAGTGTGATATACATATACTCCAGGCAGACATAAAGACAGATAAGCAGAGACAGACAGACAGACACAGGCAGATAGACAGAGACAAGACATGTTTGTGTGTAACAGTGATAAATACAGCGAGGGTTAGCTGGAGCAGTGGGCATTTATCAAATGTCACTGGGCTGTCAACAGTATAGGGATGCCTTTCATAACAACATGCTTCAAGGTATATGCCAGGGTATCTAAAACATTGCTGGGACCTATAAATACTTTGTATATATTTCTAGACAATAGTAAATAATCCAAGCAGGAATAAATGTTCACCTGTCAATGTGATTGTGACTATCTGAACACTATTTCAGTACCTAATATTAGTGTCAGAACAAAGATTGGCTATGAAATTACAAGAACTATTATAAATTGTAATTATCAGAACATAAAAAATATATAAATTAAAATAAAAACAAGAAAAAAAGGTATATCGGCAACACTTCTGCAAGCGGCAGGAATCGATGTTGCTGACAGGTGAGCATCCAGAGCCAACTTCACGGTCTTATATCTCGGTAAGTACTGACCCTAAAAATTTTTTATCCTATAGCGTGTAGAAAAATGTGCTCTTCATTTTAAAAGAAATTTTTTTTTTTTTATTTTTCAAAATATTTGGAGCGCCACACGAGTGAATGCAGAGCTACGTTTGGACAGTTTAAGGGTTAAAGGCTCTCCATTTTCATTTACCTCTAGCACCCCAAATTTACCTACTACTCCCTCCACAACATTTTTACCCACTTTAGCATTGAGATCCCCAACCACAAGTACACTCTCACTTGGTTCGAAACTCCCCACGCACTCACTTAACATTTCCCGAAATCTCTCTCTCTCTCCTCTACACTTCTGTTCTCCAGGTGCATAAATGCTTACTATAACCCACTTTTCACATCCAACCCTTATTTTACACCACATAATCTTGCATTTATACATTTATATTCCCTCTTTTCCAGCCATAACTTATTCTTCAACATTATTGCTACTCCTTCTTTAGCTCTAACTATTTGAAACCCCTGACCTAATCCCATCTATTTCTCTCCACTGAAACTCTCCCACCCCCTTCAGCTTTGTTTCACTTAAAGCCAGGACATCCAGCTTCTTATCAATCATAACATCCACAATCATCTCTTTCTTATCATTCGCACATCCACACACATTCAAACATCCCACTTTGACAGTTTTCTTCTTTCTTTTTAGTAGGGTATACGGGAAAAGGGGTTAGTAGCCCATTGTTCCCGGCATTTTAGTTGACTTTTACAACACACATGGCTTACAGAGGAAAGATTCTTATTCCACTTCCCCATGGATATGAAAAGTAAAGCAATAAGAACAAGAACCATTAAGAAAAAATCAGAAAAAAGCCACCAGCAATCTTACCATCATGTAAAACAAATACAGGCTTCCTTTTTACACTCACTGGGTAGGACAGTAGTATCTCCCCAAATGGTTGTTGTCTACCAACCTACTACCTATAATTACCTATAATTAAACTTGTAACAATAAAAAATATTTATCCAAAAAGTTTCAACCATCAAAAAATCCTAAATGTATCTCTTACCCTACTTTATAACTTTCTTAATTTTATTCAAAACCATACTATAAACATCTGAGAACCATGTTAGTATATTAACCCTTCCAAAACAAATAGCTAATACAACTCAAAAATAGATAAAGAAAACAATGTTTACTCTTCCTCTGGCAAGCTAACATCCCTCATTAACCCTTAAACTGTCCAAACGTAGATCTACGTTTTTTCAACATTTGAAAGTACATATGTAAAAAAGTAGATTTTTTTTTTTTTACATTGGAAAACATGTAAAAAACTTTGATCTGTTTTTTTTTTTTTTTGTTATATTTGAAAATATGTAAAAAAAAACGTTGATCTACTTTTGGAGCACTACGCATGTGAACATAGATCTGCTTGGGCAATGTAAGGGTTAAAACTCATTAAATCTCGTAATTATGTTACTTTATAGTTTATTTATTTATTTATTTATTTATTTATTTAGAAATTTTAGCATACAAACAGAGGTACAAAAAATACAGGTAAGAGCAGCATGCCAAAGCCACTTATATGCATAGCATTACGGGCTGGCTTAAAATTAACTTAAGATTAACTAAGCAATGATGAAATCAGTGATAAGACATTATTGTAAACAGATAACTAAAAAATACAAATGAGTATTACAAAGACAGGTCCTATGGTTGCATGCATTGCTGTACATTCAGTAGAATGGAGTATTCAGACTTCTGAACCTTATAGTTTAACCTCACCAAAAATATATTACAGACCCTACCTATAAAGTTCTATTTATAAAATGTAAAAAAAAAAAAAAAAAAAAAATCCTTAGCCACAACAATATGGCAGACTGTGTGTTTCTGTAAAGACATTCCAAACTGTTAAATTCCTCAGCTTCCTCAATTACCATCATGGAATTCTGTTTAGCGTATAATGTGTTTTTATTGTGCTATCCCATGTTCCTTCACATTGACATGCATTTTCAAGGATAATAAAATACAGTGGACCCCCGGTTAACGATTTTAATCCGTGCAAGAGGGCTCATCGTTATGCGAAATAATCGTTATGCGAATCAATTTTCCCCATAAGAAATAATGGAAATAAAATTAATCCGTGCAAGACGCCCAAAAGTATGAAAAAAATTTTTTTTTACCACATGAAATGTTAATTTTAATACACACAAACTGAAAAAGGCATGCACAATTACATGACACTTACTTTTATTGAAGATCTGGTGATGATTGATGGGATGGGAGGAGGGGAGAGCATTATCTTCTTACTGTTTAGAAGGGGAATCCCCTTCCATTAGGACTTGAGGTAGCAAGTCCTTTTCTGGGGTTACTTCCCTTCTTCTTTTAATGCCACTAGGACCAGCTTGAGAGTCACTGGACCTCTGTCGCACAACAAATCTGTCCATAGAGCTCTGTACCTCCCGTTCCTTCAAGACTTTCCTAAAATGGGCCATAACATTGTCATTGAAATAGTCACAAGCACGGCTTGCAACAGCTGTGTCAGGGTGATTTTCATCTATAAAGGTTTGCAGTTCAACCCACTCTGCACACATTTCCTTAATCTTTGAAGTAGGCACAATGGATTCCACAACTGGCATAGGCTTCTCAGGGTTAGCCCCAAACCCTTCAAAATCTTTCTTAATTTCCATTACTAATTCCCACCCTTTTTACCACAGGGTTGGCACTAGAAGCTTTCTTGGGGCCCATGGTCACTTATTTTCCACAAACAGCACCGAAAACACTGTAATAATACGAAATATTCCGAGTGTATGCTTGGATGTTACCGCGGAGGCTGGCTGGTAAACAATGGGACGGCCGGCACATGTGAGGGCACATTGGACGCGTCTCGGACGAAAATCGGTATGCGGGTTTTTAATCGGTATGCGGGGCAAAAATTTTGCGATAAAAGTAATCGTTATGCGGAAAAATCGCTATGCGATGCCATCGTTATGCGGGGGTCCACTGTATTACCTAAAAATACCACCATATATTACTACAGCATGCATACACTTCATAATACAAGGTCTGTTATTTCTGTTTTGTATATTCGTTGAGTATAGTCCTTATATGTACCATCAATTTTTTTATTTAAATGATCCAAATATGGTACAGTACCTCACTATACGTACTGTACGTGCACCTTTAAAAAAAATGTCGTTTTTTTTGGTATGCTAATTTACCATATTTATTTAAGTACTGCACTGATTCATATTCCTCTAGACTTCTGTAAATTTATCAAAAAATACTATTTTAAACTTCAAGAAAAGAAATTAAAAAAAAAAAAAAAAAAAAAAAATTATGAGATTTCTAAAATCACACAAATCCATATCTTCAAAATAATAATTCCTAAAATATTCACCCTAAAAATCTTTGCATACTGATTTAAATACTATACCAGGGAAATATAATGAGCAAGTTATGAAAATGCAAACAAATTAAAAACAACTAGGAAAACTATCCCATCTGATTCCAATTTTGTTAGGTTTTTATTTGGAATAAAACAATTTCTCACGCACAGCCCAACGAAGTTTTGATCTAGGATCTTCACCAGGAACTTTGAACTTATCCCAATGTGCCTTGTAGTAATGATACAGGGTGACTGGATCACGTCGAGTAGGGTACACTGGCAAGCAATCTGAAGAACAAAATTATTTTTGCTAAGTTACTGACTAGGATATTATTCTATTACCAGGACAGATTATCCTGGTTATAGAATAATAATATCAAATTAAGTGCTAAACCCAAAAGGGTAATACAGCACTGCAGGTAGGGATATGTAAAAGGAGGACTGCGTAAAAGCAATGAGCGCATGAAGGGCAGAGATTAGTGGGGGTAGATAAGGGTGCATAAGGAAAAGGAAAAATCAGTTGGTGCAGTAAGTTTGTTTCTGTTAAAGTCAAAGAAAATGTCAAACATAAGAATTTCAGTGATGTCACAGATTTAATGTGCTGGGGCTGCAGAGATGAAAGATGTGAAGTCTGCATGCCCACTAATAAGCTGGACAATCTTTAAAAATATGCTGAACCAACAGTCCTCACTGAGCAGTGCCAGGAATTTTTCCATGAGGTGTCAGTGAGCGAATCAGACGTAGCTGATACACAGATAAGTGTGTGTAGTCTTCCATACACAACAGTGGTAGGAAGATGACCAGACACCTAAATGTGGTTTGACAGAAAACAATTAATTATAGACAAACTCAGACCAATATTGTTGCTATCAGTTGGAGAATTGTCAAGATCAACAAACAAAATTCAAAGTAAGGAATACCCATGAGAAATTGGAATGCATGCACTTGTATATAATGGCAAATATGTACATTGCAGAAGTTGTGACTATACAAGTGGACAGACAACTGTGGCTAAAATTTATCTTTTCTTTGCCACAATCATAGGTCTTTAAAAATAAATGGTGTCTTTTTGTAAATATATATCCATGGTTTTTTGTAAAATACTGTAAGTTGAGTGCAAGCTGTTAAACAATAATTTACAAGAAATGTATTTGGGAATGAAGTCAGGTTTTTGAAAGAAGAGGTGCAAGCATATAACATCATGAGTGATCGAGTTAGTTGATTAGAAGCAGCAAGAAGAAAAGGGCATTTCAAGCCTGGCACCACAAGGGTATTGCAATTTAATAGCAGCCAACTGTATGCATCCGGTTATGTTTCTACTCACCAACGACTGGGCAAGATGCAAGTCACCTGTTCACAGTTTTAACCGTTAAACTGTCCAAACAGATCTACGTTCACATGCGTAGTGCTCCAAAAGTAGATCTACGTTTTTTTACATATTTTCAAATACAGTGGACCCCCACATAACGATCACCTCCGAATGCGACCAATTATGTAAGTGTATTTATATAAGTGCGTTTGTACGTGTATGTTTGGGGGTCTGAAATGGACTAATTTACTTCACAATATTCCTTATGGGAACAAATTCGGTCAGTACTGGCACCTGAACATACTTCTGGAGTGAAAAAATATCGTTAACCGGGAGTCCACTGTATAACAAAAAAAAAAAAATGTAGATCAAAGTTTTTTTACACGTTTTCAAATGTAAAAAAAAAAAAAAAAAAAGTCTACGTTTTTTTACATACATGTACTTTCAAATGTTGAAAAAACGTAGATCTACATTTGGACAGTTTAAGGGATAAAGTGTAGGGGGTTTTCTGAGGAAATAGCAAAGTTTTTGTTTAGCAATGCAGCCAGGAAGGGAGGGATGACAGTCCAATGTTTCAAAATGGTACAGTAGTTGTATTTCAAGTGCCGTTCTGATATTTTCAGATGGTTGTAAATATTGTTTTGGTGCTCCATGAGTTTCTGCAGGCGATTAAAATGAGGAAACGTGGGATTTTATGCCTATTTGTATGAGAAATTGTGTAACATTTTGTTCTAATTACCTTTGACATACCTTTGAAATTTCGAGTTTCACTACTCTCGGAGCTTGGCCATGAGCCAGGCTCGTCTGGTGCTTGCCTGGTCAACCAGGCTGTTGCTGCTGGAGGCCTGCTGCCCCCACATATCCATCACAGCCTGGTTGATCTGGCACCTGGTGAAGATACTTGTCCAGTTTAATCTTGAAGGCTTCTACACTTGCTCCAGCCATGTTTCTGATATCTTCTGGTAAGATGTTGAATAGTCTGAGACCCTGAATGTTGATACAGAGTTCCCTTATTGTTCCCACTGCACCCCTGCTCCTCACTGGGTATATTGTGCACTTCCTCCCGTATCTCTCACTCCAGTATGTTGTTATGGCAGTGTGCAGATTTGGGACCAGGCCCTTGAGTACTTTCCAGGTATGTTTATATTATCATGTATTTTTCTCTCCTCTGCTCCAGTGAGTACATGTTCAAGACTAAAAGGCATTGCCAGTAATTTAGGTGCTTTACTGACTCAATGTGAGCCGTAAACGATCTCTATATTTGTTCCAGCTCTGATATTGCTCCTGCTCTGAATGGGGCCATCAGCACTGAGCAATATTCTAAATGAGGGAGCACTAGTGATTTGAAGAGTGTCACCATTGGCATTATTCCCCTCGTTTTGAAAGTTCTTGATACTCACCCCATTATCTTCCTGGCTGCCATGATTTTTTTTTTTTTAACACGTCGGCTGTTTCTTTAATAACCCTTAAACGGTCCAAACAGATCGACGTTCAAATTTGTAGTGCTACAAAAGTAGATCTACTTTTTTTTACATATTTTCAAATATAACAAAAAAAAAAATTAGATAAAAGTTTTTTTACACGTTTTCAAATGTAAAACAAAAAAGAAGATCTACATTTTTTTACATACTTTCAGACGTTGTAAAAACGTATATATACGTTTGGACCGTTTAAGGGTTAAAAGAAAGGTCAGCTGACATAATTATTATTCCCAGGTCTTTTACGTGTTCCTTTCATTCTAATTGGTGACCCTCTTGAGTTTTGTATATAGTGTTCCTTTTGAGTTCTTCATTCCCTCTAAACCTATGCAGCTGGAACTTATCACCATTGAATGTTATGTTTTCCACTGCCCACTGGAAAACCCTGAGTGCTTATGTCTTCCTGTAATTTTTCAATGTCCTCTACAGTAGTGACTTTCATGTTTATTTTTGTGTCATCCGCAAAAGATGATGCAAAAGTGTGACGGGTGTTTTTTATCTATGTCTGCTATGAGGATGAGAAACAGCAGATACCACAACAGTACCTTGGGGCACTGAGCTTTTTACCTCACTTATGCTTGATCTTGCTCTGTTCACTACTACTTTTTGTGTTCTGTGTGTTAGGAACCTGAAAATCCATCTGCCCACCTTACACGTAATGTCCATGGCCCTCATTCTGTGTGTTATCACTCCATGATTGCTTTTGTCAAATGTTTGTAAATCACATCTGCATTTTGGTCATTTTCAAATGCCTCCATAATTCTGTCATAATGGTTCAGCAGCTGTGACAAGCATGATTGTCCTTCTTTAACCCTTAAACTGTCCAAACGTAGATCTAAGTTTGCTTGCATAGCACTCCAAACATAGATCTATGTTTTTTAATTCTTTCTTATGGAGAAAATCAAGTGCGGAGCGCTACGCAAGCAAACGAAGATCTACGTTTGGACAATTAGAGGGTTAAAACCATGCTGGTTCAAGTTATGCTGGTTGTGCTGGTCCATGAAATTTGTAATCTGCCGTCTCATCACTCTTTCGAAGATTTTTATGTGAGAAGTTAGGGCTACTGGTCTAATTTTTAGGTAGTGCTCTACTACCTCCCTTATGCAAAGGAGCTATGTCTGCACTCTTTAAGGCCTCTGGTATTTCACCTAGATCTAAGCTCTTTCTCCAAAGAATACTGAGGGCTTGTGCTAGTGGTACTTTACAGTTCTTTATAAATAGGGCATTCCATGAATCTGGTCCAGGTGCTCAGTGAGTGGGCATGTTATCCATTTCTTTTTCAAAAATCTATGGGATTTGTACTAATGTCAGTTAGTTGGTCTGACCAGCCTTCTGCTGGAGTGAAAAATGCTTCTGTATTTTCTACCTTGCTGTCATTTAGTGGGTTGCTGAACACCGACTCATGCTGTTCTTTTAGTATTTCACTCATTTCCTGGTCATCCTGTTCAATTAAATTTATTAGAAGTCTATTTCAGGCAATGCTGTGTTTACCTATTCCTCACTGGGTTGGTTAGACACTGAAGAACTGGATGCCATAATGATCCAATCAAGCAGAAGGTTATAAAATGCATGTTAAAATACCATGCAAAATTACGAATACCTTGACAAGTGTCTTTGATATACTCGGAGACAGGCACAAAGTGTATATGTGTATATGTAATACAGTATAACATTCTGAACCACATGCTTTCTTAAACTTCAAAATGTAATTAAATAATAGTAATGAAATCTATCACTGATAAGTTCAATTTATGTACATTAAAAGTGCTCATGAAATAAATAATTTTGGGTGGGGTCTCTAAGGCACTGGAGCCATTTTCTTCCTTGGGTCAAATCTGATTACTTCTCATTATCCCCAGGCACTATGACCCATACAAGTTTAGTGTACCTTACATGAATGGGAAAATAATAATTTATCACATAATATACAAAGTATTATCAAATTCATGGCAAAGCGCTAAACCCACAAGTCATAAATTGCAGTAATCATATTTGCCAAGAATTATTATTATCATTATATTTAACCCTTAAACGGTCCAAACGTATATATACGTTCACCTGCGCAGCACCCCGAATATTTTGAGAAAAAAAAAAAAGAAGTCATTTTTTATAGGAAAAAAGAGCATGTGGTACCCAGGCATCCCCAATTTTTTCATATGGCACACACTGAGTGCACACACCCATTCTCTCATGTCTAGATGACTCAGGCCTACCGTGCCAATGTTGAATAAATGACAAATGAAACGTATATATATGCTTGGGGCGCTACACGAGAGAACGTATTTATACATTTGGACCGTTTAAGGGCTAATGGGAAACACTAAACTCATATGGATTGTACAGTGCATGGAAAATGGGAGGTAATTAGGTTTGATCCAAGGAGGACAAATCCAATTTCTCAGATCAAGAGCCCTCTCAACAGTATCAAGGAACCTCCCATGAGGGGCTAAAGAGAGGAGAGCTTCAATTCTTCCATCAAGAGCCCTTCAACATCAAGGTATCCCCCTGGAAGAACATAACTACAATACTGCAAAACTCACTTACCCCTGTCTCTTGTCGCTTTAAATTTTTGTTGCCCAAGATTCTGCTTCAATTTACTCCCATCTGATAGCCTTTTGGGTAGTTCAGTAACAGAGCACTGCTGTGTGAGTTGTGAAGCAACAACTGACACTGTGGGCACTTTTTGTGAATCACCATCAGTGTCCCTAGAGGTTGTTCCTCCATCTTCAGCTGTATTTTTTTGTAATATACCAGAAAATGATCTGGTACTTTTCTTAGGCAGCCTAGCCGCTGAAGCCTTATCGCCCAGTAAATACAAAACTGAGATGGAGTCACTCTCCTCTTCGTTTGTTTCAGAAGTAGCTGATGCTGTACTCTCAAAGTCTGAATATCCACTTTCTTCAGCATCTTTATTTAAACATCTCTCTTTTTGGGTTGTGAAACTGCCAAGTGACCAAGAAGGAAGCATTACAAATGATGAGAAAATGTATGCCAATGAAAAGTATCCATATTCTTTATTACTACATTAAACCGGATACAGTATCTTGCTATCTTCTAAACTTATCTCACTATGATCAAGGGAGCTATAAAAAACAAAGTTCAAAATTTGTTACAAAATATATATGCAAAGCTTTCCACAAACAATAGGGCTGAATACTGGAATGAATTGTTTATACTATGCATTGTTTATACTATGAGCTCTACAATTAAAAAACTAAACTACAATCTTAAATACTTTCTATGTTTGTCATATCTTCCTCAACAGTGATTAAAAGAAGCAGAAACTGACTTGCAAGATTCTATACCAATGCTAAACACTAATGCAGAATTTGTTTCACATAGTCAAACCATCTTTTCTATTAAATACTGTACCTTACACTGCATACAACTTTTTCCTATCAAATAACTACATATCTTCCTCTGTACTGCTCTGCATTCACCTAAAATGCTGATAATGTTAGCCCAGTGACGAAGGATATTTTCACAACAATTTCAATAGTTACCCATGCATTTCCCTGTGCCTGACTGAAGACTCCCGAGTAGATTGCATTTGTGGCTCAGAAAGATCTGGTGTGCAAGTACCTTGTGGAGTGTACATTTTCTTAGTATTCCTTTGACTGTCAAATTTACTTTGTATGGCACAGGCTTCATTATGACTGGCAGATTGGTTCAAGTCTCCAGATAAATTTTTGTGTAGTTTGACTTTGCGAAGATCATTCTTGATCAACTTGAGGAGATCTAGAAAAAGTGGTTTACAGTGAGGAAATTTCTGACTTTTTATTGTGCAAAAGTATAAATACCAATTAATAGTTACAGGAAGAGACCATACTGTAATAACAGCTTAACATTACAACAGATGCTACGCACACATGAATGCACACACAACCACGTATAATACTGTAATTTTTCAAACTCAATTTCCATCATATATAACAAAAATTAAAAATAAATATATTTTAGTATATTACCAATACAGTATGTATAAGCACACCTCCACTCAAGTGGATTTTAAAAAAAATAAATAGGCAAGCAAATTTTTTATGCAACTCTCTTTTGCCCCCGTTAGGAAAAAAATATTTAGAAAAGGACTGAAAACTGGTTACAATTACAACATTCCTAGCAACTTATACACTGATATCATGTTTCATACTGATATTTCTATTACCTTAACAAACATATTTGGCCAAAGCAGGGTGATTCAAAGAAGAAACCACATTCACCATCATTCATTTCATCTGTCTTTCCAGAAGTGTACTGACATCACAATTCAGATTATCCTCTGACTGCATGGAATAGTGGGCTAATGCTTGTCGTAAAAAAAAAAATAGAATGCTAGTAGAAAGGGGCTAGAAACCCCTTCTATATTCAATTACTAAAAAAAAAAAAAAAAAAAAGTCAAAGAAGAAACTTAAATTAAATCATCTTTTATTTATTACTTTAGGGGACTTAATTTCTGGGATATTTTAAAAGTTTTTTGGGGGCAACTAGTGTGACCTCAAATACCAACAGTGTACCCCTTAAATCTTTCACAACATTTTTTTTGTGGTAACATCCATGCGCCCTCTTTTACAATATCAGTATTCAAGATGCACTAATGCATGAAAATTAAATTTCATTTGCACATGGTAGAAAGATAAGCAATGCAAGAAAACATTTAGAATAGATAATATTTTGCTCTGGGTAGAGCTTCAAGATGAACTGTTTGCAAGGGTGTTGAAGGAATGTAACGAGGAACTTAGCATACCATTGGCTAATCTTTTTAACATATCACTACAAACCAGCATAGTGCCCGATAAGTGGAAAATGGCAAATGTAATACCTATTAATAAGGCACGTGACAGGTCCTTGGCTTCGAACTATAGACCAATAAGCTTTACCTCCATAGTGGGAAAATTTATGGAATCAATAATTACCGAGGCAATTTGTAGCCATCTTGATAGGCACAGATTGATTAATGAATCTCAACACGGTATTACAAAGGGGCGTTCCTGTCTTACGAATTTACTAACTTTTTTCACTAAGGTGTTTGAGGAGGTAGATCATGGTAATGAATATGATACTGTGTACATGGACTTCAGTAAGGCTTTCGATAGAGTTCCACATCAGAGGCTATTGAGGAAACTTAAGGCACACGGAATAGGAGGAGAAATTTTTTCCTGGGTAGAGGCATGGCTAACAAATAGGCAGCAGAGAGTTTGCATAAATGGGGAGAAATCAGAATGGGGGCACGTCACAAGCGGTGTTCCTCATGGGTCAGTGTTGGGCCCGTTGTTGTTCACAATTTACATAAACGACATAGATGAGGGAATAAATAGCGACATAAGCAAATTTTTTCTTCTTCTCTTTTTTAGTAAATGTCTACTAATGGTTTTTAATACTTGACGTGCTGTTGGAGTGTGAGCAAAGTAACATTTATGAAGGGGTTCAGGGAAACCGGCAGGCCGGACTTGAGTCCTGGAGATGGGAAGTACAGTGCCTGCACTCTGAAGGAGGGGTGTTAATGTTGCAGTTTAAAAACTGTAGTGTAAAGCACCCTTCTGGCAAGACAGTGATGGAGTGAATGATGGTGAAAGTTTTTCTTTTTCGGGCCACCCTGCCTTGGTGGGAATCGGCCAGTGTGATGATAAAAAAAAAATAAGCAAATTTGCTGATGACACCAAAATAGGCCGTCCAATTCATTCTAATGAGGACACTAGAGTACTCCAGGATGATTTGAATAGACTGATGCAATGGTCGGAGAAGTGGCAGATGCAGTTTAATATTGACAAATGCAAAGTTCTAAATGTTGGACAGTTAAATAACCATGCCACATATAAACTAAATAATGCAATCTTAATACTACTGATTGCAAAAATGATTTAGGAGTTCTGGTTAGCAGTAATCTAAAACCAAGACAACAGTGCATTAGTGTTCGCAGTAAAGCTAACAGAATTCTTGGCTTCATATCTAGAGGTATAAATAATAGAAGTCCTCAGGCTATTCTTCAACTCTATATATCCTTGGTTAGGCCTCATTTAGACTATGCTGCTCAGTTCTGGTCACTGTATTACAGAATGGATATAAATACATACTCTGGAAAACGTAGAGAGGAGGATGACAAAGATGATCCCATGTATCAGAAATCTTCCATATGAGGATAGACTGAGGGCCCAGAATCTGCACTCTCTCGAAAGGCGTAGAATTAGGGGGGGTATGATCGAGGTGAATAAATGGAAAACAGGAATAAATAAAGGGGATGTAAATAGTGTGCTGAAAATTTCCAGCCAAGACAGGACTCACAGCAATGGTTTCAAGTTGGAAAAATTCAGATTCAGGAAGGATATAGGAAAGCACTGGTTTGGTAATAGAGTCATGGATGAGTGGAACAAACTCCCGAGTACAGTTATTCAGGCTAAAACATTGTGTAGTTTTAAAAATAGGTTAGATAAATACATGAGTGGGTGTGGGTGGGTGTGAGTTGGACCTGACTAGCTTGTGCTGCTGGGTCTGGTGCCATGCTCCATCCTTGAGTGGAGGTGACCAGACTGGGTGGGTCATTGGTCTAATCCGGGGGCGGGGGGATGGACCTGCTCCACATGGGTCAGTAGGCCTGTTGCAGTGTTCCTTCTTTCTTATGTTCTTATGTTATGTAAAACATCATTTATAACAAAAGTCTGCACTACACTAGGTGTCTTTCTACCCATAAATATCAGCAATACCCACCATCCTACATATTTATCAGCAATAATTGCCATCCTACATGTCAGCAATGTCTGCTATCCTACATACCTTTACGGAGACTTTCGACTGTTTCATCTGCTACATCTCTGAAGCCTAATAGAGCCAATTCCTCACGCACTTCTTCCACTGTGACCCTTAAACGATAAGGCATCTCAATACCTGTAACAACAATGCCCTTTTATATCCAGTACCTACCAGTCATTCATATTAACAACAAATTCCCTTTTATATCCAGTACCTACCAATCATTCATATTAACAATCTTAAATATTAAATATTCAATTGTATACATTACACTACTATAGAAACAGTGGTATCTTGACTTACGAGTTTAATTTGTACCGTGACCCAGCTCATAACTCAATTTATTCATATATCAAATCAATTTTCCTCGTTGAAATTAACTGAATGCCAATAATCTGTTCCAGAGGAATTTCTGGCTCTTGGAAGGCAGGAGAAAATACTTCACTATAACGCTAATATCAACTCTATGACTTATTTATCTATGTTATTTATATTGTTTATTATGTCACATTAGATCAGTTGTGATATATTCATATGAATATAACACAACTGATCTTGCATGACATAATAAACAATATAAATAACATAGAAACATGATATATACTCTAGAATGAATAAAATATGTCATTATGTGATGAGTGGTGGCGGCCACTCCCGAGGTAAAAAATAATTATCGCTCTGACCATATCTTCCCATTCTTTCCCTTCTGAGGTCTTATTATAAGAGAAAACAGAGTGTTTGAGAGGCTAACTGCATTAGATCACTAGAATTTTTTTCCCCCGGGTCAGAAGACCAGCCTATGTTTTGGGTGAATGCCTCATGCCTTCTGTGAGAAGGCACGAGGCCAAGTCGACTACACGCACACCTCGCTCATGTTTTTCTATGATTTCATGCTTTAATTCAATGGACATCACCCTCTTCTTCTCAGCACTGTCCTTTGCACTTACTGTACTTTCTTAGGACTCATTGTTTGAAAAAAGAAATTTGGCAAAATAACTGCACAAAAAGCAAACACCACAAGAGAGATGCTTCCACAGTGAGGTAACCATGTGCACTGTTGTGGTGTTCGTTGCGCCAACTAGTGGCAGCGTATCTGAAGCTTGCTTGTAATTCAGATTCTGGCTTGCAATTCAAAGCAAAAATCAACCGAGCAACGGCTCGTAACTCGGAAAACTCGTAAGTTGGGGCACTTGTAAGTTGATCATTAATGCTATAAACCCTTTGGTAATGCCATCTCTTTCCTCAAACTTGATTAAATAAAACTACAGTGGACCCCCGGTTCGCGATATTAATCCATTCCTGAGAGCTCACCGTAAGCCAAAATTATCGGAAAGCGAATCAATTTTCCCATAAGAAATAATGGAAATCAAATTAATCCATGCAAGACACCCAAAAGTATGAAAAAAAAAAAAACTTTTACCACATGAAATATTAAGTTTAATGCAATAGAATATTTACAATAACAACAATAACAACAGAATAATAATAGAATAATTGACATTTACCTTTAATGAAGATCTGGTGATGATTGATGGGATGGGAGGAGGGGAGTGTTGAACCTATTGTTTAGAAGGGGAATCCCCCTGCATTAGGACTTGAGGTAGCAAGTCCTTTTCCAGGGTTACTTCCTTTCTTCTTTTAATGCCACTAGGACCAGCTTGAGAGTCACTGGACTTCTGTCGCACAACATATCTGTCCATAGAGGCCTGTACCTCTCGTTCCTTTATGACTTTCCTAAAGTGGTTCACAACATTGTCAGTGTAATAGTCACCAGCACGGCATGCAATAGCTGTGTTAGGGTGATTTTCATCCATAAAGGTTTGCAGTTCAACCCACTGTGCACGCATTTCCTTAATTTTTGAAGAAGGGACAATGGATTCCACAACTGGCATAGGCTTCTCAGGGTTAGCCCCAAACCCTTCAAAATCTTTCTTAATTTCCATACTAATTCTCACCCTTGTTACCACAGGGTTGGCACTAGAAGCTTTCTTGGGGCCCATGGTGACTTATTTTGCAGAAACAAGCACCAAAAACAGTGATAATATGGATAATATGGAATGTACCGAATGTATCCTTAGATGCGCGCACACTGGCTGGCTTGTAAACACTGGCACACACGGGGCAGTTTAGGCCACACGTGGACACGTCTCGTACAAATCGTATCGCATACCGGGTTTTGTAACAGGAACCGAGGCAAATTTTTTGCGATATAATGCATCGGATACCGGATTTATCAGATACCGGATTTATCGGATACTGATAGCATCGCGAACCGGGGGTCCACTGTATACTAAATAAGTTTTCATTTAAACTGGATTTTAATTTAGGTATGGAAAGAACTTTATGCAAGTTAAAAGATTAAATATTAAAGATTCTTTATTTCAGCATGATACAATGTTGTACAGAGGTGGTGACATTTAGGTGTGAATGCAGAAAGCCCCTTTGTATGCAGAGCATTTCAGACAAACTTCAGCCTGTCTTAAGGTTAATAAGGAAATAATTAATTGATTGCTTTTATATATGGTTTCTAAGGGGATGTAACAATAAATTTAGAATTTTTATTTATTTATTTAATTATTAATTTGGACATGATACATAGATGTACAAAGAAATACAGTGGTTAAGTGTAACATGCCAAAAGCTCCTTGTATGCAGAGCATTATGGGCAGGCTTAAAATTAACTCAAGATTAACTAAGCAATGATATATTCAGTGGTAAAAATTATAGTAAACAAATAACAAACACAAATGAGTATTTCAAAGTCAGGTCATATGGTCATTTGCTGAGTTGCTGTGCATTCAATAGAGTGGAGTATTCTATTAGGTAATGTAATTAAAAAAAAAAAAAGTTTGATAGGGTCACAGGTTATACATTTATGAGATACAGTTACTCAGTATTTATTTAGTTGTGGGTGAGTAAGTGATTTTTAAGAAGAGACGAATTTATAAACAGTGTTTCTTTTATATTTACAGGTAATGAATTCCAGATTTTTGGGCCTTTTATGTGCATTTTTTTGCATAGTGTGAGATGGGCATGAGGAACATCAAAGAGTGATCTGTGCCTTGTGTTATGGTCATGTGTTCTGTTGAGATTGGTAAGGAGACGTTTGAGGGGAGGGTTTATATCCGAGTTAAGTGTTCTATGTATGTAGTAGGTGCAATAATAAGTATGGATGTTTTGTACGGTGAGTAGGTTTAGAGTTTTGAATATTGGTGGAGTGTGCTGCCTGTAGTGGGAATTTGTTATCATTCTGACTGCAGCCTTTTGTTGGGTAATTAATGGTCTGAGATGGTTTATTGTTGTTGAGCCCCATGCACAAATTCCATAGGTGAGATAGGAATAAATAAGCAAGTGATATAGGGCCAGGAGGGCTGACTGTGGAACAGTACCGTATCTTCGATAGTATGCCTACGGTCTTGGAAATTTTCTTGGAAATTTGTTGTACATGTGTTTGAAATTTGAGTCTATTATCAAGGTGGATTCCTAAGAATTTTCCCTCTGTGAGCTTTGTGATAGGTGATCTATTTATCATTATGTTAAGAGGGACATCTGTAGCTCTATTACCAAACTGAATGAAGTAGGTTGTGTCAATGTTGAGAGTAAGTTTGTTAGTCATCATCCAGGTAGATATTTTCTGTAATTCGGTATTTAAAGTATTGGCTAGCACGACTGGGCTTGGGTGAGAGAAGACGTATGTAGTGTCATCTGCAAATAGTGTGGGTTTGAGTAATTGTGATGCACTTGGCAGGTCATTTATGTAAACGAGAAAGAGAAGAGGGCCAAGGACACTTCCCTGTGGGACACCAACTGTAATTGGCTGTGCGGAAGAGTCTGCTCCATTTGTGTACACATATTGGCTTCTGTTGCTGAGGTATGACTTTAGGTAGTTGAGGGAGTGCCCTCTTATACCATAGTGTGACAATTTTATATGAAGTAAATCATGGTCAACTGGATCAAAAACTTTACGTAAATCAATGAAGATCCCCAGTGGGACTTCTTTTTTTCTTGAGTGCAGTGTATATTTGTTCTAGCATGTGTATAATAGTATCATTCGTATTTTTGTTAGGCCTGAACCCAAACTGACAGGGGTTGAGTATGTTGTGGGAGATGAGGTAGGAATAGATTCGCTTATGAATTAATTTTTCGAAGATTTTAGAGATAGGGTGTAAGTTGGATATTGGCCTATAGTTATTCAAGTCTGTTTGGTCTCCTCCTTTATGTATCTGGATGACCCTCACTATTTTGAGAACTGTAGGGAAGGTAGAGGATTCGATGGATTTGCTAAAGAGTGTTGCAATGACTGGTGACAGCACTTGCACATGAACACACGAACACTACTATCAAGTTTAATTGTTTTAAGGATTACAGGTAGTAAGGATTCTAGCATACGAGCATATTTTGCATACATTCAATATAGTACGTACATGTATTTAATTGTTGTGAAGATTACAGATACTGAGAATATGAATACAGTGGACCCTCGACCAACATTGGCATCGACTAACGTTAAATTCGACCAACGATGCACTAACGCTAACATGTTGCCTCGACTAACGTTAAAAAACTCGACTAACAATAATCGTTCTCGGGTACCAATTAATATCGTTAGTCGAGGGTCCACTGTATATTGTTTTTCATATGATTGTGGCAATGAGAATATGAAAATACAGTTTTATCATATTTAGTTGCTGGGATATGTTTTGAAAGGTGTTTTTTAATGGTAGTTTTGAAGATGCTGGCAGAGAGAGAGAGAGTGGCTCTTGAGATATCTAGCAGAGTTTTCCAGATTTTGGGTTCTTTTATGCACACTGAGTTTTTACAAAGGCTAAGCCAGATATGGGGTTATGTCATAGAGATTTCCAAGTTTAGTATTACATCTATGGGTTCTGCTGCAACTATCAAGGAAGTGCTGCAGTTCAGGATTAACCCTTTGACTGTTGCAACCCCAAATCCTGAGGTGCCTCCTGGTATCGCAAAATATTTGAAAAAAAAAAAAAAAAAAATTCTTATGAAATGATAATCTTTTCCCGATGGTAATGACACCAAAAGTACGAAATTTGATGGAAAACTTACAGAATTACGCTCTCATGAAGTTAGTGACTTTGGCGATATTTACGAATTGGTGATTTCGCCCACTTTGAGCCCTATTTTCGGTTAATTCCATTGTTCCAGTTGACCAAACTCACAACTATTTCTTTAGAACTCCATTTGTTCTATTGATTGAGTACAAGAAACTGCCCATTTACCAATTTCGACTACCCAATAAAGTGGTCAGAAATTGGCAATTTTGCCAATTTCACGCAAATTAAAAAATATGCCAATTTCAAAAAAGGGTCCAGAATGAACAATGCAGACATTCCTGGCTCTAAAATAACATTTTCTTTGTTCATCAGACACGTCTCCAGGCCCCTCTTGCTTTCTATTTTGAATTTACCGTTATGCAGACTACTGTAATATTGTAATAATTGTATAAATAATATCAACCCATTCATGACTACATATTAGAATGGCTAGTTGGACATTTATTGGACAAAGACATCATCTGTTTACTCTTGAACATCGGCAAAAATCAAACACTTTCCCTACTTTGAGCCCCATTTCAAGGTCCTTTTCATAGTAAACCCAATCAAAATCACCTCTATTTCTAAAATATATGTTTTCCATTCTATCAAATGTGCTTACGAAAACAGGAATATAACCATAAAAATTATATGAAAATACACCTCTAAGTTGGCATTTTAATCCAAAAACACAGTCGGAGTTTTTTTTTTTTCTCATTATGCACTGCGTGCTGCAGTATTTTTTTATGTGGTGCACACTGACTACACAGACCCATTCTCTCACATGTGGGCCTACCAGCTTTCTCCTGCTTGATTTGAAACCGCTAAAATTTTTTAGTATATATACGTCAAACACATTGGCTCGTAAGACATATATATACAACCGAAACAGTCAAAGGGTTAACATTAGAATTTATTGTTCTGTATATGTAGCATGCACAGTAGTAAGAGTGAAAATTTTATATAGCAAGTAGATTTAGGTCTTTGACGAGTGGGGGGGGAGGGGGTGCTGTCTAGCAGTGGACTGTGTGATCATTCGTACTGTGCCCTTCTGCTGAGTTACCATTAGCTTGAGGTAACTGGTTGTGGATCTCCAGGCACAAATAGCATAGGTGAGGTAGGGGTAGATCAGCGAGTAGTACGTATAATGTATGTAGTGCTGTTTGCAGTACATAACGATGTATCTTGGAGAGGATGTCAATGGTTTTGGACACTTTTCTTGTAATGTGTTGGATGTGGGTGTTGAATTTCAAGTTGCTGTCAAGGTGAAGATCCAGAAATTTTTCCTCATTATGCTTAGTAACAAGAGAATTGTTAATCATGAAGTTTAGTTGAACATTATTTGCTCTGCTCCCAAACATTAAGGTTTTGTCAATGTTAAGTGACAGTTTACTGGGAGTCATCCAGGTTGATATTTTTAAGAGCCCTTCATTAACAATGTTGTTGAGTGATGCAAGATTCAGGTGGGAGATGACAAAAGTTGTGTCATCTAAGCTGCTGCAAAACATTTGTAAGGTCACTGATGTACAAGAGGAAAAGCAGTGGGCCAAGGATGCTTCTCTGGAACGCCAATGTTCAGAGGTCTTGTCGAAGAGGTTGTGTCCGTAATAGATATATTGCTGTTATTAAAATAAGACTTTATATATATGCAAGTGCATGATCTCTGATGCAGCAATGATCAAGTCTGAGATGTAGGATGCTGTGGTCTACTGCATCAATAGCTTTCCCTAGGTCGACAAAGAGTCCTAGTCATTATTTTCAGGTGCTGCATAAAGTAGGTCAAGCATTTTAATAATTGCATTGTTTGCACTTTTGTTTCACCTAAAGCCAAACTGGCAGGGGTTGAGAATACTTTGCAGTGTTATAAAGGAGTACAGTCTCTTGGGTACGAGTCTCTCAAAAATTTTGGAAAGCAAAGGTAAGTTAGATATTCGCCTGTAATTGTTTACATCAGTTGGGTCTCCACCTTTGCGTATTGGAGTAACTCTTGCTATCTTGAGCAATGTCAGGAAAGTGCTGGTTTCTAGCGATTTGTTAAAAAATAATGTAAATATGGCTGAGAGGACATGAGCCTCTTGTTTGAACAGAAGTGGTGGTGGTGGTAACTGAGCTAGATTTCCCGATTTATTTTTTAGTGAATTAATAATCAGGGTGACTTCAGTGGGCTTTGATAGAGAAAGATAGAGGGATGTTGGGAAGTTTCCGTCTAAGTACAGGTACCCTCCGACTTACGACCGAGTTTGGCTCCGACCAACCGGTCGTAAGTCGAAATGGACAGAAGTCGAACCTTACTACTGAATATCAACATCACATTTTTGTAATGACTTTATTTTATTGTTTTATTTTGGTATTTCATTTTTTACTTTACTTTTTATGCTGTTAATACTGTATTTTATACTGTAAGGTTTAGGATAAACACTGTGTACAACACAAATGGTTGTTTATTTCCCAGAAATTTGGCATACAAAACACGGTCATAAGTCGAATGGTCATATGTCGAGCAGGTTGTAAGTCGGATGGTTGGTGTAATCACTCACTCAGGTGTTGGTGCTTTGAATTTTGTTAGCAAGACTTGGTCCATGGTTGAGAAGAAATAACTTATCTTTCTGGCTGTTTCAGTAGGCCAAAGCTGTGGCTCATTGGGTTTAGTCACAATAATATCTCTTAGTTTTGTTCACCTTCTGGGTGCCCAGAATTTGAGTGTGTCTACCAGGTGTTTTTTATATCACCCTTCATTTCAGTGAATCTATTAGTCATACAGTTGTCTGGACTTTCTTATTAGCTTGGTGAGGACTGACATACAGTTTTTACCAAGTTCTTTAGTTATTAAGCCCCATCTATATTGTTTTTCATAGTGATGTTTCTTATCTAAGGATGCTACATATTTGTAAGCCATGGGCAACCCAGCTATTTAGTAGAGATCCGTTTAGTTTTTATGGGACAATGTTTGTTGTACAGTCTATGTATTTTTTGCAGAAAATTTTTTATCCATTCGTCAACACCTATGGCGTTGGTAAATTCTGCAGGCTAGTCAACTGAAATTAACACGGTGGTGAAGCTGCTCATTGTAAACTCCTAAATTTACAATTACACTCACCTAAGTAACTGTATGTACAAAATTACGCACTGTTATTGCTTTATTAATCTTAGGTTCGTCTTAAGTTTGCCTGAAATGTTCTGCATATAAAGGGGCTTTCAGCATGTACACCCAAATGTCCTTTGTATAAACATTGTATCGTGCAGAAATAAAATTATCATCATTGATGCCTCATCATGGAGTCAAACGAAATCTTCCTATATGCCAAAGGTTGCTTAGAAATGTTTGTTAGGAGAAAGGTAGGGTAACTGATTATCCCTTATTTGAGGGGAGCTAATATATTTGTCCATATATGGACCATTATGGTTGCACTCGTCTCGGTTAACCTTGTAGATTTAGCTGTAGCTGGTACGAGTAGTGAACTGTTCATACTATTAATGAAATCAGTTACTGGTTGGTCATCTGCTACGCCAAGGTTAATGTTGAGTCTCCAGCCAGTAGTAGGTAGCACTTGTTCATTTTTGTTGGTTATTAGGGTTTAAAGATTATCACTTTTACGACATGTATGCATCAATGAGAATGCTTTTTACATTATATAGTTACAGTTTTGTTATAAATGCAAGCTTTGTGTGCTGTATGTAGAGTACTGTATCTAGTGTAAATTCCAAATTAACCCTCATATTGTTACAGTTTTATCCTTTACATCACAGTAGGTCTAGTTTACATGAAGATTACCATTTATTGGATGGCATGTCACACACACACATTCAATGGAAAGAATGAAGATATCAGGCAAGCACATACTTTATAGTGCATCAAAACTCCAGGATGGCATAGCAAAATATGAAATGCTGATGTCTTCAGCCCTTACCAACACTCTTCCTTCACCAATGCAACACAAATGGAGTTCTAGCTCAAGGCACGTCAATGACTGTCAATGTGTTTGGAAAAATTATAATAAATGGAAACGTAAACTGTAATGTAATATCTCAGAATACAATATAATGCAGATCAGCAACAATAATAATATACCTTATGTGAGCAACTGGAGCCACAAAATTAAGTTAAGTATATACCAAGAATAATCAGTACCAAATTGTAAGATTATTTTTACTGAAATTAAAATTAAGCACTTAACCCACAAATGTTATACAGAAATTGTAAGGTAATTTACACATAATAATAATAATCTTTATTTCTACAAGTATATATACAAGGTATACAGGCCTAAATACCATCAATGACATACTATAATAATAATAATAAAAATAATGTAATACTATAAAGAAAGCCCTTTGTTTTGCAGAGCATTTCGGACAAATTAGGTCAATTTTTATCCCAAGATGCGACCTACAAATTTTACTGATAGGTGAACATGGACAGCAGTTATCTTAGGGGAAACATGTCCTATTGTTTCCACCCGTACCAAGGATCGAACCACAGACCTCAGTGTGTGAGCTGAGTGCACTAGCGATCGAGCTACAGGCCACCCTTAAACTATGTATGATAACTGTACTTGTATATACCTGTAGCTAAATAAACTTACAGCATAACTGTTGGTCAACTCTCGTGGGTCACATCCTGGGAATAAGAACTTAAAAGACCTCACTGGAAACAGGCAAGTGGCTTTCTCGGGTTATCCTGGGACACTGACTCTCTAGAACTAATACTCTAAATAGTACTATCCTATGCAATTTATACTAGGTATGATACTAATACTTATGTGTATCTGTGCCTAAATAAACTTCGAGCTACTCACACCACTGTTATGTCAAAGTCTTCATAACCCTGTGCTTGAAGGTTTGATCAGGACCAGCAGCTGCAACTCAACTTCTGCCTGCAATGGAGAGTATTTGGACCAGGAGCTATAGCTCGATTAATGTCAGAACTGGAGAGGAATGTCGAGTTCATGTCAACACATTTAAATACAATTACACGTAGTATTACATCCGCATAATTTAGAATGGAATTAATATCAAAAGTCACCAAAAATTCTAGTTTTTTATATAAAATTATCGCAAGGCATAAAACTTACTATACTTGTAATGAAAGTTCGTTTAGATGTGTATAGCATATTTATTTTTACGTTAATGTTTTCTTATTATATTCAGTAAAACATGATCTGTATTTAAGGTGATGCAAAGTTACCAAGGTCTGACAGCGGACCATAACTAGTGGCACCACTGAGTTATTATTCACATTCCTTCAGCATATTCAAATTCAAATTCAAATTCAAAGTTTATTCTCTATAAGGATTACAGTGCTGAGTTTACAGAATTTGGTTATTGTGTGGTTTACATGTAGTAAAATAATAATTACAGAGTGTACCACTAGAACGCCTAGCATGGCTAGGCATTTCGGGCAGACTTAGTTTAATTCTTTATTTTAAAATATTACAAATTATGAGGTAAGTTGGTATTATGGCTAAGTGACTAAATACTAGTTTGTGAGTTTAGCAATGTGAATGCTTTTGTTTTGGCACAGTACATAGTTTCAGTATTGGAGTATCACAGGATTCATTATTTTAAGATTGAGATTAATATTTCTGTTTATGGTAAAAGGGGTGAGTGAGTGAAAGTGTGAACCACCAGGTGGTATTCGTGTAGTTGTTGTGGGGTGTATCAGGGAGATAAGATGTTTTCTAATGGTGTTTTGAAGGTGATGAATGTGTCTGCAGTTCTAGAGTTCTCAGGTAGGGTGTTCCAGATTTTAGGGCCTTTGACATGCATTGAATTTTAATAAAGGTTTAGTCGGACACGGGGAATGTCCAAGAGATTTTGTCTGGTGTTATTGCCTGTGGGTTCTGTCACAGCATCAAGAAAGCAATTTAGGTCAAGGTTGATATTGGGTTTAAGGTACTGTAGATGTAGACTGCACAGTAGTAAGTGTGGATGTACTGAAACAGGGAGTAAGTTTAGATCTTATGAAGAGTGGGGGGGGGTGGTTGCCAGGGATGGGATTTAGTGATTTTCTTACTGCAGCAGTTTGTTGGGTTATTATTGGCTTTAGGTGTTTGCTGAGTTGATCCCCAAGCACAAATAGCATAGGTGAGGTATGGATAAATGAGTGGTATAGTGTGACAAGGGCATTTTGCGGCACGTAGTATCGTATCTTGGAGAGGATCCCAACCGTTTTGGATACTTTTTTGGTTGTGTTGGATATGGGTGCTGAAATTCAGGTTGTTGTCAAGGTATAGGCCTAGGAATTTGCCCTCATTATGTCTGGTAATTAGTGTTGTCGATCTTAATGTTAATTTGTGCATCTCCTGCTCTGCTATCAAACATAATATAGTAGGTTTTGTCAGTGTTAAGCGTAAGTTTATTGGCTGTTTACCTGGAGTTTACCTGGAGAGAGTTCCGGGGGTCAACGCCCCCGCGGCCTGGTCTGAGACCAGGCCTCCTGGTGGATCAGAGCCTGATCAGCCAGGCTGTTGCTGCTGGCTGCACGCAAACCAACATACGAGCCACAGCCCGGCTGATCCGGAACTGACTTTAGGTGCTTGTCCAGTGCCAGCTTGAAGACTGCCAGGGGTCTGTTGGTAACCCCCCTTTTTGTGGCGGGGAGGCTTTGAACGTCTGGGGCCCCTGACCTTTTTTGTAGTTTTTAACGTGTAGTGACACCCCCTTTCTTTGGGGGGGAGGATCGTCTCCCAAAGTTTTTGCTTTCGTAGTGGGTGTTTTTCGTGTGCAAGTTCGGTACAGTCCCCTGGGATTTTCCAGGGTATTAATCTGTTTCTCTCCCTCCTCGTTCCGGGGAAAAAGGTTTTGGAAACCTAAAGCGCTCCCAATAATTGAGGTTTTTATCCCCCCTTATCGCGCCGTGAAAGTTCCTGTACTTTTTTAGGTGGGCCCCAATTTCACCTGCGAAAGGTGCTGTTAGTGTCAGAATTTTCCAGCCTAGAAGAAAGTGACCTGAAGAGTGTCATCAGGCTGGCCTCCCTATTTTAAAGGGTTCTCATACCTCCTGCATTTTTCAGCAATGGATTGTACAGTTTTTGGGTCCTTGAAGGTGAGACCTCCGACATGACACTCCGGGTCTTTGACTTTGGGTGTTTGCTTTTTTTTGTGGCCGAATTTGTTTTGTACTCGAAAAGTTTTAAATTTCCTCTTTTTACCAATCTGAGTAATTAAAATTTCTCACGTTGAACTTCATTTTGTTTTCTGCACCCCACTGAAAGTTTTGGTTGATGTTGCCTGGAGCTTTGCAGGTCTGCAAGAAACATGCATGCATTTTCGGGTGTCTCGAAAAGGGAAACACGGTGCTGTGGCTGACCCCTTTGTTATGTCGGTTTTTGGAGAGGAAAAAAGGGGAGCGGTACTGTGCTTGTAAAGACTTTCACCGTAGCTGCCTCGGACTTACTCTTTGCGATACTCTCTGTGTTCTGTTAGGGGGAAATTTATAGATCCATCACCGATTTTTCCCGTTATTCCTTTTACACGCATTTGTGCGCTATTACGCCATGGTCACACTTGTCGAAGGTTTTTTGCAAAGTTGAATTTACATCTGCATTTTTTTGTCTTCTAGTGCATTGGGGACCTTGTCGAGTGGTCCAATAGTTGAGACAGACGGGAGCGCCCTTTTTCTAAACCCATGTTGCCCGGGTTGTGAAACTGAGGGGTTTCTAGATGCGTGGGGATTTTGCTTTTTAGGACCCTTTCCAAAGATTTTTTTATGATATGGGATGTTAGTGCTATGGTCTTAGTTCTTTGCTTTGCTTTCTGCCCCCCTTTGGGAGTGGGGCTTTGTCTGTTGTTTTTAGTAACGGGGGACGCCCCCCCGTGTCCAGCTCCTCCCCAAGGGATGGAAAAGGCTCGTAAAGGGGCTTCTTGCAGTTCTTGATGAACACGGGATTTCCCATATTTGGGCCCCGGGGCAGAGTGCGGGGCATGTCATTTATCGCCTTTCGAAGTCATTTGGCGTCAGGATAACACGGTAGGCTTGTGTTAAAAATTTTTTGGGGCCTCTCATAAAAAATATTTTGTCTTCGACTCCTCTGGTTGCGGCTTGCAAAAACGAGTCATATTGGGATTTTAGTGCTCACTCTTCCTTTTGTAACTGTGAGGCCCCATCGTTTAAGGGGGGGGCCCAATAGGGGACTTTTGTTTCGTTTTTTGATTTGGCATGGAGAAGAAATACTTTGGTTTCTTTTCGTTTCTTTTTTGGCTTTTGTTCTCCCGCGTTTCCTGACCCCAAAAGGATTCTTTTGCTTAATTTTCGATGCTTGCTATTTCTCTGACCGTGCCCTCCCTACGCTTTCAGTATATTGCCCTTTTTGCCGCTCGTTTTTTTTTTCCGTCGCCTGTAAAGGGACGCCTGTCTCTTCTGTTTTACATCTACCCCCTTTTTTTTAGGGAAAAACCCTTTGTGCATCATCGAGGCTCCGAGTTAATCTGTTCTAGGCATAAGTTGGGGTCGGTTTTGGGCTTAGTATTTTCTTCAGTTATTGGGTTAGGACTTGGTTTACTTGGTCCCACTTTAGTTTGTTATTGAAGTTAAATTTTGGGTGAATGCCCCTCGTGACTAATCTCTTATTGGGTTGGGGGCCCGCGCATACTGACAAAAACCTCAATTATTTTGTGATTGGTATATTGTTTTTGATATGGGATATTTCTTATCAATCACATTTTTAGTGAAGATGAGGTCTAGTGTTTCCCCATCTAGAAAGGCTCTATTTTTGGGGTTTAAATTAATTTTTGTGCAGAATTTAAAAGCTCGCGGGGTGGGGGTTTTTTCATCAGAGCTGCCCCTGGTGTTAAACGCAACAAATTATTTGCTATATTCCCTCCATTTTAGGTCCCCTTAAAGTTGAAATCCCCCGGACAAGATGTTGGGTGCGGAGCGGGAAAGGGTTTTCCAGACAGTGGTCTTTTTTTTAACAGCTTTTTCCTGGAATTGCTAGATGTTGCACCCGGGGAGGCTTGAGACTATCACAATGACTAGGTTTGGTTTCGCCTTTACTGCAAAAACTTCCACTACATCTTTGAGGCATTTAGCAGTTCGTGCAAACAATGATCTGAAAGAAAAGGCCAACCCCCCCCCTTTTTTGCCTGTTCATCTGTACACTGATGGGTTTGAACCTGGGATCCATATTTCTTTGTCCAAGTGATCCTTTTTATGTGGGTCTCATGAAAGCCGCAAACATTGCCTTGCCTCTGCAAGCAGTCCACGGAGAAAGGTATTTTGTTTTTTTGTTGCTGGCTTTAGACCCTGTTTTTGCAAAGAAGAATGTTATCGGACTGTGGTTTTGTTGGTACGGGGGGGTTTTTTTTTTTCAGGCATTATATCTGTATCTGTTGGTTTGGAGTGGAGGCCATCGATTTGGGGTTTCCACTCCAGGTGACGGTTTTGGGGTGTACGATTTTTTCTTTTCCTGCCATTTTTTTTCCTTCCTGGCACAAAAAAACCTCTCCCTCTTGATGGCTGTGGCTACCCAGGTTTTCCCCCATGGCCCTGGATGTTTCGTTTTTTTTTTTCCCCCTTTAGATGGTATGCCGGGCAATTTAAGTTTAGCACAGTCTTTCCTGTACTAAAGAGGTCCACATTCGGGGTAAAAAAGCTTACAGGAAGGGAGTTTGCTTTTCCCCGTTGTCATATGGCAGGGAAAATTTCCTAGGGTGGTCATAGTTGCACCCCCCATCGTTTTTCCAGTTTTCCCCCATGCCAGCAGATACCGATGATGTATGTCCAGGTTGGTTTCCGTTTGCCTTGGGTTTCGTGACTGTATTCCCTGTTGGTGCATTTTTCCCCCCGTCTTACTTCACCTCCCCCCAACAATGGAGCTCCCACCATTTGTTTTTGGTAAATTCCCACTTTGCTAGTGGGTCCCTTTTTTATTTCCTGCGGTATTTCTAGTTTGCAATATTGGTTTTATTTTATCTTTGATTACACTTGTTTCCCACTATGTCCCTGTCCCCCTATCGGCCCATTATATGTTTTTCCTTCCTGCTAAAA